TTTTTTTATTTTGTAGTAGTCACACACTACACACATACACAGGGCGCCCATTGATGCCCGCCTTGTGTTGAAAGGGCTACCCTACTTAAATTAACATGACTGTTTCAAGACTTTGTGAACATAATAATAAGAAAAACAAGCTCGATAACCATTGTCATAATTATTCACTAAACATGCTATAGTGACAACACATAAAACAAACTTTACAGTATAGAAGTCTAGAAAAACAATTATTGCTCAGAGAGCACGTTTTAGAAAGTTGTTGAAAGATTGGCAATAATAAAGGATAAAACATTAAATGCAAAAAAAGGTTTCCAAGGGCCACCTAACGTCATCACATGTATTATCATCATTACTGCCAATGCGTGGATCATGCTAGCATTTGTGGTTTTTATAAATAAGCCGTATTTGTTGAAAGATTTATTATACCAGGTTATGGTAATTTTGGAACTTTTCTGCACACTCAAAACTGTTGTAAATCCCTTTAGCGAGTCACGATTTAGAGAGAAAAATAAAATCGCCTGACCACGGCCCCTTTGTGCTTCACATAGTCATTTGGAGAGTGTTCCCGTTTTCCTGATAAAATAATATTTGAAAATGAATGGTTGACTTATAATAATTGTTTTTTATGGTAATTAAAAGTCAAAACATAAGAAATTTTTAGAAAGAACAAGACAACAAAATTATTATGATAAAGTTGAAATGATCATTGTGTCTCGGAAGTCGGAAATAAAAGAACCTTATGTCGAGGAAAAGGTTGTTATTCATCGTGGTAGATGCAATAATAAAGTGCATTATCGTTTGTCCCACGATGTAGTCACTGAGATGTAGATCGCGACGTTTCGACTGCTTACTGCTAGTCTTCTTCAGGCGATAANTGAACATATTTATTAGGCTTTTTATATTGTTATATCTTTATATTGACAGGTTTTTTTATTTTGTAGTAGTCACACACTACACACATACACAGGGCGCCCATTGATGCCCGCCTTGTGTTGAAAGGGCTACCCTACTTAAATTAACATGACTGTTTCAAGACTTTGTGAACATAATAATAAGAAAAACAAGCTCGATAACCATTGTCATAATTATTCACTAAACATGCTATAGTGACAACACATAAAACAAACTTTACAGTATAGAAGTCTAGAAAAACAATTATTGCTCAGAGAGCACGTTTTAGAAAGTTGTTGAAAGATTGGCAATAATAAAGGATAAAACATTAAATGCAAAAAAAGGTTTCCAAGGGCCACCTAACGTCATCACATGTATTATCATCATTACTGCCAATGCGTGGATCATTCTAGCATTTGTGGTTTTTATAAATAAGCCGTATTTGTTGAAAGATTTATTATACCAGATAATGGTATTTTTGGAACCTTTCTGCACACTGAAAACTGTTGTAAATCCCTTTAGTGAGTCACGATTTAGAGAGAAAAAGAAAATCGCCTGATCACGGCCCCTTTGTGCTTCACATAGTCATTTGGAGAGTGTACCCGTTTTCCTGATAAAATAATAGTCTTATGTGAATAGCTTCCTTGACCCTACGTGAAGCTATTCACATAAGACTTCACCCTAGCAACATCAACAGGGATAGTGGAATTGAAATTCCTGAAGCTTGGATACCCACGATCAAGAAACACAAAAAC